AAGATACAATTCCTCCTCTGGAGGAAAGGGATGGAGTGTATGTGTAAACTGGACAGTTAGCTAGTCCTGCCCCACAACTGAGAGGTAGTGTGGCCTACAGGATAAAGCTGGGAATAGGAAAAGTTTGATTCAAGTCTCACCTCTGATAAATAATGCCTATAAAGCTGGACAAGTCACTTAACTCCATGCTTAGCGTAGTACCTGGTGCATCATAGTCACTTAATAAATATTTATTGACTAACAACTAAGGACTACTACCCTAGGCAACTCTATAAGATTGTAAGTTGCAGAAAATGTGCTGCTTTCCATTGGTAGGAAGGTTGTTTTTGGTTTGGTTTTATTTTTGTTTTTGTTTTGTTTTTTACTGGGAGCTTCCTATACCATTAGACTGTGAATTCCTTGAGGGTAGGGAGTATCTTGCTTTTCTTTGCCTCCTTAACACTTAATACAGTGCCTGGCACATGATAGGAACTTAATAAATGTTTGTTGACTGACTGATGACCCTAGTGAAATCACACATCCAGTCCAAAATAAAAAACCTTACACTGTCACCAAGACCTCTTTGAGGAGCTTGTGCAAAGGGGAGAAAGTAAAGAAAGCTGTCAGGATGACACACCTGGAGACAGGGATATAATTTTTTTAAAAATCCTATTTACAGTGTATGTGGGAGGCCTGTGATTTCTTCCTCGTAGGGAACTCCCAATGTGAAAATTCTCTTCACAGCTTTAGTTTGGCCAGTCCTGAGAATTGCCTGGGGCTCATTATTGAGCATCTACTCTCTGGAAGGCTTTGTGCTAGGTAGAATACAGAGACAATAAACACAGTCCCTGCCCTTGTTGAGCTCTTCGGCTAGTTTGACACAAAATATATGCATGAAACAGAGGATGGCACTTGGTGATCAAAAGTCAGAGTGGGTGGCTTACATTCTAGTTCTGTAATGAATTGGGAACAGGAGGAGGTCAGTGTGGACTGAAATAGTTAGGGAGGACTTTTTGGAGGAGGTTGGACCTGCCCTGGAATGAGGGATGAGTAAGATTTAGACTAGCTGGGAAGTGTGTGTGGCATTCTCAGTGGGAGAAATAGACGGAGGGAAGGCATAGATGAGAAATGTGCCCAAGATAAGGGTGGGGAGGGAAAGGAATCCAGGACACCAAGTAATCCAATTTACCAGCAATGGGAGCTAGGTAGGTTCGGATCAGTTCCCAGAGCCCTTGAATGCCAGGTGAAAGAGTTTGTATTTTGTTCATTAGACAATAGGGAGGCACCCCATGTTTCTGAGTAAGGACCTTAAAGTGATCAGAAGACTGACTATGTGAGAAAGCTTATTGATCTGGCAGTGGTGGTGAGCAAGACCTCTGCATCCTTTGGTTCCAAGAAATCTCAGCTGGGGAAATAATTTTACCAACGCAGGTTGGCATCTTCTCTTCAACTTATGGCCTTGGAACATGGCCTGGGGCACTAAGAAGTTAAGTGAGCTGCCCAGGGTCACACCTCTCGTATGGTAGAGCCAGGATTTGAACTCAGGTGTTCCTGGTTCCAAGGCCATTTCTGTTCATTATGAAACTGCCTCTATACTAGATTAGAGATGGAGAGCATTGTCTGGAACTTGAATTTTTGCAAATCATTATTGACTCATGCAGCACTGGAGGTCTCCAGGCAGAGGTTGGGTGGAGCACGTTGTTCCTGGGGATGTCTAGAGAAGATTCCTGTTTGAGCATGAGTTGGACTAGGAGACTTCCAAGGTCCCTACCAATACTAAGGTTCTGTGAGTCTATGAGATCATCAAGGGTGGGAGTTGTTCAGGAGGTGAGGACCAAACCTTCATTTGGGAGCTGGAGGAGGAAGAGGAGAACCGAGAAGACTCTTGGAGAGGCTCCTAGAAGCTGGGGCAGTCAAGGAAGTCTGTGCCTTCACTCCTGAGACGCATTCACTTCATGGGGTGCAGCAGGCAGAAGTAAGAAGAGAGTCAAGTGAGTTCAATGTCCCCAAAGTCAAGATGAAGAAGGAACCAAGAGAGGAGTCTAGTGGTCGGCGGCAGTAATGCTGTGAGCAGGCCAAATAGACTGGTGGATTTGACGATTAGAAGTTCACTAGGAGTGACCTTGGAAAGAGCAGTTTCAGTAGAGAAGTGGGGACAGGAGTCAGATTTGTTGGAGGTTGGAGAGTGAAATATATAGATCTATGTGGAAAGTTGGAAGTGGGAGGATATTATTTTAAAGGAAGGTGCTTCACTTAGGAGAAACTTTGAGCATATATATGTAGATAAGATATTGATAGCTGTAGAGGGAGAGTTTGAACAGACTGGGACAAGAACACAGAGATACAAACAAGGTCCTAATGAAAACAGTAGACTGGCTTAGGGTTCATGGAACCATGTTGTGAACAACTGGGTGGGGTCAGTCAGGGAAGCCCTCTAGAAAGAGAGTTAAAGGACCACACTTTGAAGGAGAGCACATGGATGCGGTGAATCCAAGAACAAAGGTTGGGAGGCAAGTGGTGGTTGGGGAATTGAGGAACTCTGGATGTGGATGGTGGATGTTGGGAAGCAGTGGGAGATAAGGCTGCAGACGTAGCTTGGGGCCAACTTGTGGAAGGCCTGGAATGCCAGGCTGAGGAGTTTGGCCTTTATCCCTGGGGCCAGGTCTTTGAGCCAGGGAGTGTGGAGAAGAAGCTTGTTTGGGGAAGTGGGGCCTGGGGGGGCGGCGCTGTGTGTAGCTGGCAGAGTTGTTTGCTGGGGGCCAGGCTGGGCCAGGCTGGAAGCAGTGGGCGTTTGGAGAGTTTTAGTGGCTGTGGGCTTTCCCTCACACACACTCCCCCCCCCCCCCCAACCCCTGCCCGTTAGGACGTTCGTGCTGTGGGCTCCCATCCCTGGCCTGCTGGCGAGATGAAAGGAAAAAACATGCGGTTTGGTGGGAAAGGACATGGAAAAACAACTGAATTAGGAGCAAAACAAACAAGCCCCTCCAGGGAACTACACATACACACACACACACACACACACACACACGCACACGCACACGTACAAGCCCATACATGTGGACACAGGCAGACACAGTTACTTGCACATAGTTGAGTGCCTCCATTCATGAAAAGAGTCCGTGCTGACACAGGTAGTCAGACCCCTACGGACAAGTCTTTTTCTGGACACAGGCCTATGCATTTACACTTACAAATACACATCGGCACAGACGGATGGGCATGTTAATGGAGCCTGCGCATGCACACACGTACACTTATATACCTATCCAGATATACTCTT